AGAACAACGTACATGTTATCAGCAATAATTTAGAATCTTGAAGGTTTAGTGAGCAAAATAATAAATGGACTGAAAAATGTCTCTTGTGTATTATAAATATAAAACTCCAGAACAAATATCTATAAAAAAAAAGAGAGAATAAAAACGCCTAATATGCTAGAAAAGTACAGTGATTGTTGCAACTCGTATATGCATAAATATATAAACGTAAAAAAGAATTGTTCGATTAACTATCAACGTTGCACGAATCATTATCTCGAGCGAAAAACTTCAAACTACAATGATGAAAGATACGATAAAGTTACATTCCTTTATAAGTTTTCTTATTTGGCGAATCATCCTAGATTGCAACATTTGTTGTGGACGCACCTTAACAAAAAATCCAACGAATCAATCTTATTATCCGTACTACATTGTGGCAACATCGAACATGATAAGGCTACAAAGCTGAATACGCTGATCAATACCATTATCAGATTGATTTACACAATATCCGAAGAAAGGGTAATATTTTTAGAGATTTATTTTTGAAGTCTCTTTCCGGGTAACCTATTTTTTTCAATAGTCCAAATGTCAATCTATTTTCCAATATAATTACATCTTCTAGCATCAGCAAAAAAATGACTGGATTGAATTGAGTAAATAAAATGGAAAGGAATGAGAAGAAATAAGAAAACTTATAATGAAATATAACTTTATCGTATCTTTCATCGTAGTTTGAAATATCGCTCGAGATAATAAGTCGTGTAATATTGAAATATTGATGATAATTAATCAAACAATTCTTTCTCACGTTCACTTATTTATGCACGCGCGAGTTACAACGTTCGTTGCAACAATAGCTGTACTTCCTCGTTGCTGACGTTCGCGCATCGTCTATTTTCTTAACGGCTAGTTGTAAGTAAACGACCATTTACGATAAGGCGAATTAAGGAGCAATCTTCGCTAAAAACTTCCGTCGCGCAGGCCATTTTACGAAGTTTGTACGATCAAAATAACGCGAGTGAACGGTTCCGGAAGAGTTTTTTGTGCAACAGCTTGTTTCGAACTGCATAAATATTTTAATGTCATATCAAGCTGCGTGTACATGTCTTTCTAAAATGAAAGTTGCCATAACAAGTCGCTGTTACTTCATTAAGGCTGCAATATGTGTCGTGTTCAAACAAAGTTTCTACGCACAAACAATATGTGGCTGCAACTTTTTGATGAATAACTTTTTAGTAAACTTTTTTATTAATCCTCACGGACTAAAAGATAAACTAATAGTCTCTTTCAGTAGAAACGAGCGAAAACTGAGTATAAGATACAACAATGATGGAATTAATAACCTTAGAGAAGATAATGACTTCGTTATCTCTTATCGGCATTCTTATTTTTTTTCCTAAGCATCGGTTATAATGCTCATTACGTTGATAAATATTGCTGATGAGTTAAATAAGTCGTTATCTCGCTCCCAGTCATCGGTGACAGCAAATTCTATAGGTTCGCAATCTCCCTGACCCATTGCGGTATTCCTTGACTTTTTCCACTTTTACGATTTTCCGGATTTACCAGCAACTTTGCTGCTGACAGTATAGCAAACCTATCTCGTAAAAGAATCTCCTATTATTGCTTACGATCGCGCCACGTCTGCAAGGCCAATGATGTTCTCTCGATCGCTTGTATATGTTTAACGATCGTACAGCGATACATATATGCTTCGTTCTTATCTCGATTGCGCAACATTCAAACGTCGCTTCCCCTGTTTCTCGCGACTCCCGTTTTTCGCATTTCCGATTTGTTCCGCTCATTTTCAGGAATGACAAGCACCTCGTGTTCGATTACGACTCGCTTTTTAGCAGGACTGTTTTAGCGACGTCAAGTGTAAATCAAATGTATCGGTGTTAGAATCAACGTTTCCTTCGTCATACGTCGTTCCGATGTAAGCTTTCTACTTAAATGCTATCCACGTTTGCAATTCAAGCGAGTTCTATGATCGAGATAGGACCGTGGAACAAGAGCATTACATGTTTTTTCCTGAAGATACGATGGAACATTAATGTCAAGAAATGTTCTAAAAAAAAAAAAAACCGACGATATCAGCGAGCATAAATTAGAGATTCTCGTAAAATGATAACAATAACTTAACATCTCGTAAAGCTTTTGTTCGTAATGAAAATTGCAAGAATATAATTGCAACACCGGCGATAATTATCACGGTTGAAATATTCGTAATTAACATATACATTAACTTTATCTGCTTTGATTTACATTTGTTTTTAATTAATATTCATTTACTGCGCATAACATGTATGTATATATTTGTAACGCGTATCGGTAGAATCGCGAACAAGTCTGAGCACGAAACCGGCAAATCGATTACACGGCTGAACCGCGTCAACGAATTTCTTCACGATTCGCTTACGCTAGAACTGCGAGCGTTCGTTCGTTAGTCACAGCGCAATTCTCCACCTTGTCAGCAAGATATTTTTGTATACACATGACGCAACACATTGACACAATACGGCAACACAGATTTCCTGTTGAACATCAAACAATCCAAAATTACTACGTTTCCCCACAAGTAATATCGTTATATCGAGCGATGACTTGTGTGTATAAGCATAACGAAATGGAATTTCGAGCGATAATTCCGTCGAATAGTTTAAACGCCAGCTGCGCTCCGTTTATAACGTAAAAACGATCGTATTCAAACGACAATGATAAATACTATGCTAATCATTACTGCACCCCATCGCCAGATATCGAATTCACGCGAAATTCTGGAAAAAATAGATTTTTTTCCGTCACAGCGAGACAGGCCAGCCTCACTTCGATCGGGGGTACATACCCCGCGGTATTTTCCAATCGGAGGGATTCCGCGGTAAACAATGAGTTTTTTTTTGTGCAAATAATTGATAACGCGCGTCGCAATCACGCTGGCGGATGTTTTCCGTTTGCGCGTCCGCCGTTAAAACGCATTAACTTGCCATCGTTCGCGACTAAGACGCCGCGACGGAAGGTCGAGAGCGCTTGGAATTTGGGAAATAATTGGAAGATTACAGTGATCCGGCGTAAAAGCAGCAGACTAATGCGAAGACAAACAGGTGAACGTCGCTGTCGCCGATAATCCATACTCTCTTACCCCGCATACGCGAAGTATACGCTGCGTGTTTGGAGGTGATCATTACGACGCCCGTCCGGAGGATCGAATTATATACCGTCGATTTTCCAGTTTCTTTTTGTCCGCCTTTTACCCTTAATCTCTGTACGTCGCGTACACGTAAAGTCTCTTCCTTAAGCCGATATTATGGAAATCGTGTAGTATATTTATGCCGCTCATTACCATTCGACGTCGGTAATTATTGAATTGGACAGTAATTATTGGATCTCAGCGATATATTTCGAAATCTCTCGAGGATTCGTATAAATTTGCAAGGATATTAAAAAATATCTTCAACAATTTCTGGAGTATGTGTCTGAAATTGCGCGGCTTTTCGCCAGACAATTCTCGGAGGTACCAGTTAAGTAATATAAGACTTCGCGTTCTGTACACAATTTCGAAACACGGATATTATTTTAAGGGAACTTTACTTCACCAGAGTCGGTAGTGGATATACCGCAAACTGCCTGCGGGCAATCGGCTTGGCCATTATTATAATAGACAGTTTTAAGAGCTGAGAAATCTCCTGGAGGCTTTTATAAGTTCTCTATCCGATAATCAATTAACAGTTTTGATAAAAAAAAAAAAGTTTCCGCATACGTCAAACGTATCTCACATTCCAAAACAGCCGAGTATCTCGAGAACGTCGAGAATATAATTTACGGACAAGTCACGAAACTATTCGTTCGAAATTAACAATCGTGCATTGAAAAAAATATGACGAAGCCTCGCGCAGGTGTATTTTGCGTAAAAACCAAAGAGGACCTTTTTTTTTCCTCTTTGCGTCAAAGTTATGGGACACAGACCGCGATATTTTTTTTACGCGCAGGCGTTCGCAAAGTAAATTGTTTGCTTTTAAAACAGCGCTGCGAAAATAGCTCGGATGGCATGTTTACACGCGATCCTACGGCGACTGACTGGTAATCGAATATCAGCGCCGATTATTCCATGGGCATTCATCAGTGACACGTCATGCATGAGGTGTACTTCATGCGCGGCATAAAGAAGTCGCCGGCAAAGTCTTGCGTAGTCACGGCATATTCGATTCGAGTCTAAAACTTGGGACAAGTATCGATCTTGCAGGAAATGCATATACAAGGTGTACCGTGTCTAGCAGAAATTTCAGCACGGTGACAAATATTTGATTCGTCGTTACATCCTTCAAAATTTCTCTTTCAACACTATAAATATCGCAATTAACTATAAGTAACTTTTAGTTGATCATGCACAAGCGAAATACCGCGTTAACACTATGCGGACACCTTTTAAGGCACAGTCGATTTTTCATTTATTATGATTTCCACGGGAATGGGAACAAATAATTGCAACAGTTCCGGCCCATGTAAGTATAGAAATCACATTTTGAAACCTTAAAGATGATACATGAATTTTTATAGATTTTTTGTAACACTGAAACGCTTTCAAAAACCTTTTGGACTTAAAAGTCCCATCAGGAAGTCCGGGTGAGTGCTCCAAAAACACGGTGCCCGCACAGTGTTGATGAATAATTCAAAAGGATTAATACATTGACATTAAAAAAGTATCACTTTAATAAGTATAAATTTAATAAATTATATTATTAATATAAACTTTAGCCTTTAATAAATCTTTAATAAGTAAAAGATATCACACAGATATTGTTCCCTATTTTTTCCTTCGAATGTCTGCCGAAAGTTTTGTGTTCCGTGATACTATCTGATGATTTCGGAACCACCCTATATAAATTCATTGGCCATTTCCTCTAATAAGAGGAGATAATCAAGACGAGCGCGTCTCCAAAGGAACGACGCGGCTCATTGGGTTCGAAAGGGTTTCATCCGTAGAAGGGTATTCGGGAAATGTTCGTGGAGGTACTTACGTGGGCCGTAGGTACAGCGTCGTTCCTCCGACTGAAAGTGGACCCAGACGACGTCGATGGCGCGTCGATAATAGAATCACTAGAGCACTGCCACCGTTGCCGTGTCCCACATTACTTGCCATGCTGACAGTCCCGAAATCACTGCGCAAAGAAAAAAAGAGGCGTTCACAAAGGCGAATTGTCCCGTTGGTGCGTAACATAATATCTTGGTAATTTACGTCTTACGCAACAACGGTATATCGATGTCGGGCTTGTTGTGCCGTCTTTTTCTTCAGAATTGTTTTCCACAACGGACTTCCGAGAAAATGAGGATATATTTATAAAATTAATATTTACACAAACGTTATATATTACATCATATATTTCCACGTTGGATATTTGATGAAAATATTTGTTTACCGTTTCGGTAGAGAGTTACAGTCTAGTAATGTAATACAGCAGCGCTTGCGAAATTAGTCGGTCAGACAGACTTGTGCGTGTTGTTTTTCAATTCGTTTCTTTTCGTTTAGCACTATTATCAATGAGCGACGACACGTCGGCACCGAGCGTGCGCGTGTGTGCGTGCGTGACGCGTGAGAAAACCTTTTTTGAGAGCGGATTGTCAACAAATTTCTTTCGTATATAATCGGTACCTCGAAAATTCACTACATCAAAATGTGATCAAATAAAGATCTAAGCTTTTCATGTTTTAAATTCTTTCTTAGAGTTAATTATTTCGCGCGTTTGATCGATATGCATATAGATATGCATGCGAAAAACGAACATGAAACGATCGATGATAATATCTCCTAATTAATAGTTAAATAAATTGACTTACTATATACTTGTACCCTGATATCATTGCGCGAAACGTATAATCAAATAGAAACTGTTTTGCAAAACTATGCTGTATTTACAAGTCTTTCGATAGTTGCGATAGAAAGTAGGTCAGTTATCACATATTTAGTCGTCTTATCTATGCGACGTCACTTGAATTTTCAAGTTAAATTGATCGTGGAATATTTCACATTCGTGTTCTAAATTTTAAATTTTACTGTCGCGTTACATTTTGTAAAACTCTATTAGCAAGTACTTGTGAATTTAAATAAAAGTGCCTCTTGCGGTAGGCTTTTTCCACCGTATTGTTATGCATGACGAATGAATTACGTTTGAATATTGATTTATTCACGGCAAACTAATAATATTTAAGATTGATTTATACAAAATTTTACTGTCGCGTCGTATTTCGCTAAGCTCTATTAGCAAGTACTTGTTCCTCTTCTAAATAAATTTAAAAAAAAAAAATGTATCTAGCGATAAAAAGCTTTTCCCTTCGTATTAAATTCGTGGCGGACGAATAGCGTTCAAATATCGATTATTGATTCATGGAAAATTGATAGGGTTTATGATCGATTTATGTAGGTAAAAATAAAACAATATAAAAAAGGCGTGGAAGATAGGTACGAGATTTTCTAAATATCACAATAAATTCGACTGTTCTGAATATATTGTAAGTGTAACGTTAAACATTTCATATCACGAACCGCGTTTATCGTAAACGTCTATCATACGTCAAGTTCTTATATTACAAAACTTTACAAAAACCCAGAGTGAATATACATATACACATATTATTCTACGTGAGTTGTAACTCTTTTAACGTCCAATTGTTTAGCACAATCGGACCTGATTGAAGGTAATTGATAGTATTTGCGAGATGAAAATTAGATCGTGTTGAAATATTGCAAATATGTATGTATGCTGTCATCGCTATAGATTTTATACGACGTGCAAATACAATTTCCTCTCTTCCTTTTTTTCTCTCTCACTCATGCGTAAAAAGTTTATCCTATAATTATGGGATGAATGCGTTCAAACGAAAGCAAATTTTGCTAGATGTATGTATAATTTTGATGCTCAAGGGCAGCCTAAAAGGGCAGCCGTGAAGTACATATTTCATTAAAACCGAAATATTATATTACTTGTACGTTGTTTGTAACTATTATTCAATAAGTAATAAAACCTTGAATTAATTATTCTTGATAGTGCGTAGTTACATATTTAGTGAAAACCTTGTGTGAATAATACCTATATATTGCGTCTATTAAAATGAGAAATGCGAGATATAAAATGATCATTAAAGATTATATACGTAATTTAATATAATTGATTTCATTAGTCGACCAGACATAATTTTATGGAAATAGATGTTACAAAACCACATATCGCACGTGCGTAATATTAATCACCAATTAAATTCGAATAAAATTTAAAACGTTTTACGTGCTTTTTATAACAGTTATGAAGTTACAATGATTAAACATAATGTAGTTTCTATGCAATGTAGTAATATAATCTTTCTGTAGCCGCATTTGCGATTTAAAAATAAAAGAAGGCACAAAATTTATTCAATTATACTCCCAAGTGAAGTATTTAATGTTATTTTCGTAAGTTTGTTGGCAATTTTTTTTAGAAATCCGATAAGTAAATTCCCGATACGAACAGATAAGAAAAGTCTTGATATGAAAGCTCTGATATCTTCAATCCACTATCCAAATAAAAGAAAATATTTTTCGTTATCGTATAATAATCGATCCAATATCGAGAATTGCTGGAACTATTTGAACTTGACCACGATAAGTTGATTTTCGTGTAAAGCAATGTTAAATAATTCATATACCCGCAACTCGATACCTTGTTCTTTCCCGTTTCTGTTCATTCTTGATGAGAACTACGCTTCCTTTCACGAATGTTTTGCTCTCTTACTACGAAGAGCGAGCATTGCGAAATGTGGTGATCGCGCGAAGATACTGCGATGTGTTCCCGACGAAACTAAATTATGGAAGCTCGACGACGGCGGCAGCGAACAAATGTCCGCGGCTCATGTGAGTCGCCGAGCCGACCACGCGTCCGCTCGTTTACTTCGTCCCACATTCAAGCAGGTTGTGCGCACACTTTTGCGATGGAATCCCAGTTATTTCGAAGGCACGCATACGCGCGCACGGCGCGTTCCCGTTGTCCCAGGTTCGGCGTGCGCGCGTTGATCGTGCGCTGCGCTACGCCCGGGCCCTACCGTATAGAGCGGAGCGTCGACGAACGCGCGACATACGTTCGGCATCGCGAATGCATCTTCCCTATATTCCCCGAACCAATGCGCGCTCGCGCACCTTCGCATACTCTCGTGCATTATGCATCGATTCGTATTACGCGTGAAGTATTGGACCTGCGGGAATTTTAGGGCGCTTCAATGATGCAGACATCCTCTGGAAAATGGAGCTTTTACATACTACCGTATATAATTTCAGACGCAGACTCTTCAACGGCTTTGCAACATTACAACGACTACTCGGGTTACGATGGAGCACACAGAGAATTGAAAAAGACGTGCAAAGTTACCTTTAAAAAATGAGACGTGACGTTACAGAAATACGGCGCACCGCAGAATTTTCACACTTGTAAGAAGAGTCGTGACGTGAGAAAAATGGAGGTATTAGAATACAAAATTTGACATTCGAGAAATAAGAATGCAAATTTATTCGAAATTCTCATCTTTTTTTCTTGTTTTTTTTTTTAGATGAAATCAAAGTGAGATTATAAAAATAATTTATCCGAGAAATATTTCTGTACCTATATTTATAATTAATAATAATAATTTACGCCATCAAACCACGAATTTTCTATTGTTAATAACGATCGACAAAAAAGTTTTGATATAAATATAAAATATTATAACGATTTTCCCACGTTTCTATGGGAACTAAAATAAAATATTGAATAAAGGTAGAGAAGAACGAGGGGGAGCAGAGAAGAGAAACAATAATATTGTATTCAAAAATTTTTTCGCCACAGTGTATTAAAACCCGACAGTACATATGTGGTTTTGCGAATAGAAATTCCCGTGTGCCATACCGGAATGTAAACGAAACTCGATGGGGTAGAACGACGCTAAACGTGGTGCGTATATGCCATACACGTATACGAATATCCGTATCGTTAGAATTCCACTTTGCAACGAAGAGAGACACTTCGCGATGTCCTGTGCGAGTACAAACTCAAACTTTGGAGAAGTCCAAAGCCTTATCCTCCACCTGAGTGCAACCGCCGTCACGGATATTTGTATTGCAACCGTTCGCTCGAGTAGACGCCGCCGCGACAATATTTCGTGCCAACATAAGCACGGTTTCGAAAATTTCGCCCCGTCGCGTATAATATTGTTACCGAGTACCCCGTCGACTCTATCTTCGCGACGGGAGCCATTTCCGAGTCGGTTCGCCCGAGTGCATCCACCTTCAAAAATTCATCTCTTTGCGGTGATATTCTTGCCAGTGCAGCGCGGGCTAACTAGGGCGTGGCACCAAGGTGGAAGCTCCTATAAATTTCAAGTCTCGCGGCTCTCCCACAACTACTTCAATTGAACTACCAATACTACCATACGTGCGACAAGATATTTATGACGAAACATTTTTCACGAGATATCCCATACGTAATTCAGTCTTTCCATAAAAAGAGCCTAACGCCAAAATTGTCCTCGAAAATAATTCATCTCTTCAGTGATCGATAAATAAAAATAAATAAAATGTTTTTGAAATCGTTACTATTAATATTTCAAACTATTCAAACATCAATTATATCTTTATATAAATTCGATTGCTGGATATGGAAATTTATTCGCGTCACGAACGCAATCAGTCCACAGACGATTTCTGTTATGGCTTTGATTATTATGTATTGCCACGATTCTAATTTACAGCAGCCCGTTCTCTCCTCTGCAACGCGACAATATCATCTTTAAAAGTGTTCTGTGCTACGATATTGCACATTTCATCATAAAATTTCTTCTTCTTCAACTTTTTCTACTTTTCATCTTTAATTGCAAAATATGTAACATAGTAGTTACAAAGAACAGCCCTATATAAGAAATAAACCAGAATATTCATGCAAAATGTATAATAATATGCAATTATTTTTAAAATTGAAATATTTTCAATTATTATTTACTTTGTCTGAAAGAATCTTTTGTGATAATAAATTTTATTTAATATCATTGTTTAACCCGACGTTACTAAAATAAAAATATGTAGCATGATTATTGAGCTGGCATTTATTAAATCTCAGCTAATATTAGAGTTTAATAACATAAAATGTTTAAATTAAAAAGTTTT